GCATAAGCAACAGGGCTCCATTAAGGAACATATAATCTCTTCCCACAACCAGACCATCACCAGAGAAGTCTTAACAAAAAACACGGAAATCATCAATAGATACAGCGATAGCAGGCGGCTTGATATCTGCGAGGCACTACACATTAAGAAGTCAACACCAGCAATCAACAGCCAATTAATGCACAACTATATTCTACCCACTTCAAGACTCCGCACCAATATAGAAGCATCAAGAAATATGGACTAGAAATAAAAATGAATTTTGGAGAACTGATTTTTCAATTACCATCGACAGTGAAAAGAACCATAAGAAATATTGAGAAAATTCGTCTTAGAATTGTTAATCTTACTTTTTCGGTCATATTCAATAATATATGTCTACAGGAAAGACTGCTACCAGAATATACTAATTATATATATATATATATATATATATATATATATATATATATATATATATATATATATATATATATATATATATATATATATATATATATGTCGTACCTAGTAGCCAGAACGCACTTCTCAGCCTACTATGCAAGGCCCGAATTGCCTATTAAGCCAACTTTTGATGAACTAATGCTTTTTCGACTACCTAACCTACCTAACCTAACCTAACCTAACATTTTCGGCTACCTAACCTAACCTAACCTATAAAGATAGGTTAGATTAGGTTAGGTAGGGTTGGTTAAGTTCGGTCATATATCTATGTTAATTTTAACTCCAATAAAAAAAAATTGACCTCATACATAATGAAATAGGTAGCTTTATCATTTCATAAGAAAAAAATTAAAGAAAATATATTAATTCATGAAAACTTGGCTTATTAGGCAAATCGGGCCTTGCATAGTAGGCTCAGAAGTGAGTTCTGGCTACTAGGTACGACATATATATATATATATATATATATATATATATATATATATATATATATATATATATATATATATATATATATATATATATATATATATATATATATATATATATATATATATATATATATATATGTCGTACCTAGTAGCCAGAACTCACTTCTGAGCCTACTATGCAAGGCCCGATTTGCCTAATAAGCCAAGTTTTCATGAATTAATTGCTTTTCGACTACCTAACCTACCTAACCTAACCTAACCTAACTTTTTGGGCTACCTAACCTAACCTAACCTATAGAGATAGGTTAGGTTAGGTTAGGTTGGGTTGGTTAGGTTCGGTCATATATCTACGTTAATTTTAACTCCAATAAAAAAAAATTGACCTCTTACATAATGAAATGGGTTGCTTTATCATTTCATAAGAAAAAAAATAGAGAAAATATATTATTTCATGAAAACTTGCCTTATTAGGCAAATCGGGCCTTGCATTGTAGGCTGAAAAGTGAGTTCTGGCTACTAGGTACGACATATATATATATATATATATATATATATATATATATATATATATATATATATATATATATATATATATATATATGTCGTACCTAGTAGCCAAAACGCCCTTCTCAGCCTACTATGCAAGGCCCGATTTGCCTAATAAGCCAAGTTTTCATGAATTAATTGTTTTTCGACTACCTAACCTACCTAACCTAACCTAACCTAACTTTTTCGGCTACCTAACCTAACCTAACCTATAAAGATAGGTTAGGTTAGGTTAGGTAGGGATGGTTAGGTTAGGTTAGGTTAGGTTAGGTTAGGTTAGGTAGGGTTGGTTAGGTTCGGTCATATATCTACGTTAATTTTAACTCCAATAAAAAAAAAATTGACCTCATACATAATGAAATGGGTAGCTTTATCATTTCATAAGAAAAGAATTATAGAAAATATATTAATTCAGGAAAACTTGGCTTATTAGGCAAATCGGGCCTTGCATAGTAGGCTGAGAAGTGCGTTCTGGCTACTAGGTACGACATATATATATATATATATATATATATATATATATATATATATATATATATATATATAATGTTTGTGTACAATACAAAGCTGAAGAGACACAGCACAAGACCACCAGAGACTACACGAAGACTTGGCTCACCTGCAGAATTGTCCAGAAAGATGGTTGTTAGAGTTCATTCTGGACAAATGCAAGGTACTAAAGTAGGAAAAATAGACCACATGGGCAATACAAGAGAAAGGGAAATACAGCTTTCGAAAACAGTAAAGAAGATTTAAGAGTTTATACAAGTTGTACCCTGGCACCTTTGTCACACACCTGCAGGGCAATGTCTGCAGCACCTGGTCCCTTTGTACACACCTGCAGGGCAATGTCTGCAGCACCTGGCACCTTTGTACACACCTGCAGGGCAATGTCTGCAGCACCTGGCACCTTTGTACACACCTGCAGGGCAATGTCTGCAGCACCTGGCACCTTTGTACACACCTGCAGGGCATTGTCTGCAGCACCTGGCACCTTTGTACACACCTGCAGGGCAATGTCTGCAGCACCTGGCACCTTTGTACACACCTGCAGGGCATTGTCTGCAGCACCTGGCACATTTGTACACACCTGCAGAGCAATGTCTGCAGCACCTGGCACCTTTGTACACACCTGCAGGGCATTGTCTGCAGCACCTGGCACCTTTGTACACACCTGCAGGGCAATGTCTGCAGCACCTGGCACCTTTGTACACACCTGCAGGGCAATGTCTGCAGCACCTGGCACCTTTGTACACACCTGCAGGGCATTGTCTGCAGCACCTGGCACCTTTGTACACACCTGCAGGGCAATGTCTGCAGCACCTGGCACCTTTGTACACACCTGCAGAGCAGGTGTGTGTATGATGCAGGAGACAGTGGGGTGTGTGTGTGTGTATGATGCAGGAGACAGTGGTGTGTGTGTGTGTGTATGATGCAGGAGACAGTGGTGTGTGTGTGTGTATGATGCAGGAGACAGTTGTGTGTGTGTGTGTGTGTGTGTATGATGCAGGAGACAGTGGTGTGTGTGTGTGTATGATGCAGGAGACAGTGGTGTGTGTGTGTGTGTGTGTATGATGCAGGAGACAGTGGTGTGTGTGTGTATGATGCAGGAGACAGTGGCGTGTGTGTGTATGATGCAGGAGACAGTTGTGTGTGTGTGTATGATGCAGGAGACAGTTGTGTGTGTGTGTATGATGCAGGAGACAGTTGTGTGTGTGTGTATGATGCAGGAGACAGTGGTGTGTGTGTGTGATGCAGGAGACAGTTGTGTGTGTGTGTGTGTGTATGATGCAGGAGACAGTTGTGTGTGTGTGTGTGTGTATGATGCAGGAGACAGTGGTGTGTGTGTGTATGATGCAGGAGACAGTGGTGTGTGTGTGTATGATGCAGGAGACAGTGGTGTGTGTGTGTATGATGCAGGAGACAGTGGTGTGTGTGTGTATGATGCAGGAGACAGTGGTGTGTGTGTGTATGATGCAGGAGACAGTGGTGTGTGTGTGTATGATGCAGGAGACAGTGGTGTGTGTGTGTGTATGATGCAGGAGACAGTGGTGTGTGTGTGTATGATGCAGGAGACAGTGGTGTGTGTGTGTATGATGCAGGAGACAGTGGTGTGTGTGTGTGTGATGCAGGAGACAGTGGTGTGTGTGTATGATGCAGGAGACAGTGGTGTGTGTGTGTGTATGATGCAGGAGACAGTGGTGTGTGTGTGTGTGTGTATGATGCAGGAGACAGTAGTGTGTGTGTGTATGATGCAGGAGACAGTGGTGTGTGTGTGTATGATGCAGGAGACAGTGGTGTGTGTGTGTGTGTATGATGCAGGAGACAGTAGTGTGTGTGTGTATGATGCAGGAGACAGTGGTGTGTGTGTGTGATGCAGGAGACAGTGGTGTGTGTGTGTGTGATGCAGGAGACAGTGGTGTGTGTGTATGATGCAGGAGACAGTGGTGTGTGTGTATGATGCAGGAGACAGTGGTGTGTGTGTGTGTGTGATGCAGGAGACAGTGGTGTGTGTGTGTGATGCAGGAGACAGTGGTGTGTGTGTGTATGATGCAGGAGACAGTGGTGTGTGTGTGTATGATGCAGGAGACAGTGGTGTGTGTGTGTATGATGCAGGAGACAGTGGTGTGTGTGTGTGTGATGCAGGAGACAGTGGTGTGTGTGTGTATGATGCAGGAGACAGTGGTGTGTGTGTGTGTATGATGCAGGAGACAGTAGTGTGTGTGTGTATGATGCAGGAGACAGTGGTGTGTGTGTGTATGATGCAGGAGACAGTGGTGTGTGTGTGTATGATGCAGGAGACAGTGGTGTGTGTGTATGATGCAGGAGACAGTGGTGTGTGTGTGTATGTATGATGCAGGAGACAGTGGTGTGTGTGTGTGTGTGTATGATGCAGGAGACAGTGGTGTGTGTGTGTGATGCAGGAGACAGTGGTGTGTGTGTGTATGATGCAGGAGACAGTGGTGTGTGTGTATGATGCAGGAGACAGTGGTGTGTGTGTGTGATGCAGGAGACAGTGGTGTGTGTGTATGATGCAGGAGACAGTGGTGTGTGTGTATGATGCAGGAGACAGTGGTGTGTGTGTATGATGCAGGAGACAGTGGTGTGTGTGTGTATGATGCAGGAGACAGTGGTGTGTGTGTGTATGATGCAGGAGACAGTGGTGTGTGTGTGTATGATGCAGGAGACAGTGGTGTGTGTGTGTATGATGCAGGAGACAGTGGTGTGTGTGTGTGTGTGTATGATGCAGGAGACAGTGGTGTGTGTGTGATGCAGGAGACAGTGGTGTGTGTGTGTATGATGCAGGAGACAGTGGTGTGTGTGTATGATGCAGGAGACAGTGGTGTGTGTGTATGATGCAGGAGACAGTGGTATGTGTGTGTATGATGCAGGAGACAGTGGTGTGTGTGTGTATGATGCAGGAGACAGTGGTGTGTGTGTGTGATGCAGGAGACAGTGGTGTGTGTGTATGATGCAGGAGACAGTGGTGTGTGTGTATGATGCAGGAGACAGTGGTGTGTGTGTATGATGCAGGAGACAGTGGTGTGTGTGTATGATGCAGGGGACAGGGAGACTGACCTGGGTGACAGGCAGGAGGTGCTTGCCCGTCATGGTGGTAGACGGGATGATGACGGGAGCGGTTGGGGAGCGGACATCATACATCACCACAGTGCCGTCACTCCAGCCCGCTGCCACCATGCTGCCATGCTGTGGCAACCACACCTGTCATTATCCTCACACACCTGTCATTATCCTTACACGCCTGTCATTATCCTCACACACCTGTCATTATCCTCACACGCCTGTCATTATCCTCACACACCTGTCATTATCCTTACATGCCTGTCATTATCCTCACACACCTGTCATTATCCTCACACGCCTGTCATTATCCTCACACACCTGTCATTATCCTCACAGCTCTGTCTCATCCTCACAACACTGTCTCATCCTCACAACACTGTCTCATCCTCACACCACTGTCTCATCCTCACACCACTGTCTCATCCTCACACCACTGTCTCATCCTCACACACCTGTCTCATCCTCACACCACTGTCTCATCCTCACACCACTGTCTCATCCTCACGCACCTGTCTCATCCTCACACCACTGTCTCATCCTCACACCACTGTCTCATCCTCACACCACTGTCTCATCCTCACACCACTGTCTCATCCTCACACCTGTCTCATCCTCATACACCTGTCTCATCCTCACACACCTGTCTCATCCTCACACCACTGTCTCATCCTCACACCACTGTCTCATCCTCACACCTGTCTCATCCTCACACACCTGTCTCATCCTCACACACCTGTCTCATCCTCACACCACTGTCTCATCCTCACACCTGTCTCATCCTCACACCTGTCTCATCCTCACACCTGTCTCATCCTCACACACCTGTCTCATCCTCACACCTGTCTCATCCTCACACACCTGTCTCATCATCACACACCTGTCTCATCCTTACAACACTGTCTCATCCTCACACACCTGTCTCATCCTCACACCTGTCTCATCCTCACACACCTGTCTCATCCTCACACACCTGTCTCATCCTCACACCACTGTCTCATCCTCACACACCTGTCTCATCCTCACACACCTGTCTCATCCTCACACACCTGTCTCATCCTCACAACACTGTCTCATCCTCACACCACTGTCTCATCCTCACACCACTGTCTCAGCCTCACACACCTGTCTCATCCTCACACACCTGTCTCATCCTCACACACCTGTCTCATCCTCACACCACTGTCTCATCCTCACACCACTGTCTCATCCTCACACCACTGTCTCATCCTCACACCACTGTCTCATCCTCACACACCTGTCTCATCCTCACACACCTGTCTCATCCTCACACCACTGTCTCATCCTCACACCTGTCTCATCCTCACACACCTGTCTCATCCTCACACACCTGTCTCATCCTCACACCACTGTCTCATCCTCACACCACTGTCTCATCCTCACACACCTGTCTCATCCTCACACACCTGTCTCATCCTCACACACCTGTCTCATCCTCACACACCTGTCTCATCCTCACACCACTGTCTCATCCTCACACCACTGTCTCATCCTCACACCACTGTCTCATCCTCACACCACTGTCTCATCCTCACACCACTGTCTCATCCTCACACACCTGTCTCATCCTCACACCACTGTCTCATCCTCACACCTGTCTCATCCTCACACACCTGTCTCATCCTCACACACCTGTCTCATCCTCACACCACTGTCACACCACTGTCTCATCCTCACACACCTGTCTCATCCTCACACACCTGTCTCATCCTCACACACCTGTCTCACCTCACACCACTGTCTCATCCTCACACCACTGTCTCATCCTCACACCACTGTCTCATCCTCACACACCTGTCTCATCCTCACACCACTGTCTCATCCTCACACCTGTCTCATCCTCACACACCTGTCTCATCCTCACACACCTGTCTCATCCTCACACCACTGTCTAATCCTCACACACCTGTCTCATCCTCACACACCTGTCTCATCCTCACAACACTGTCTTATCCTCACACACCTGTCTCATCCTCACACACCTGTCTCATCCTCACACCACTGTCTTATCCTCACACACCTGTCTCATCCTCACACACCTGTCTCATCCTCACACCACTGTCTTATCCTCACACACCTGTCTCATCCTCACACACCTGTCTCATCCTCACACCACTGTCTTATCCTCACACACCTGTCTCATCCTCACACACCTGTCTCATCCTCACAACACTGTCTCATCTTTACAATATGATTTGCACATTTATTATATCCTAGATAGGGTACCCGGCGGTGCCCGGGGCGATCCCAGAAAAATGGGCCATTTAATTGTTGTGAGGCCCCGACCACCTCTTGTTAGGACCAACTGGACTGACCATGGCTCGTCCATGTTGGTCATCTACCTTTCACTAATCACCATGCAAAGTTTTGTGAGGCTGGCCCCAAGCGTCTAGCCGCCAGAGACAACCAATTGAGCAAACAAACAAACAGACAGACAGACATTCACTCTTATAGTAAAGATGTTGGTTGAAATAATTAATAGTTTTAAACAAATATTTCTTGTCGACATATATGCTATAGTTGTACTGTTCTTGTTCATGTTCTCTCTTGCTCATTCCCGCCAGCTGAGCCAGGGTTCATAAGGCATTAACCTGTCTCCTTACGAAACCTGTACATCTTTCCTCAACTATGGTGGAGTAGTTTGTTAATATGTGATGTTGTTAAGGCGGGTCGTAAAGTGTTTACGAGCCGCCTACGAGCATGATAACCTGCGAGGTCTTACACGAGGCCTCGTTGTTAGTGCGCCGCCAGCCGCTAAATTGTTTACTAAACTAACCGGCCATGACGGAGGAAAGATGTAGATGTTTCGCAGGTGGAGACACGCGTTTGGTGAGTCGTGGCTCACTACACCGCCTACACTACCACGCGTCAGGGGCTTTACAACCACCTTTACAACACCTCAACTGACAAGGCTCGAACGACACTTTTTGAGAAGGGGACAGGCAGTTAGTGTATATATATACATGTTAGTCTTATATCGAGGTCCCCCGCATCCTGGGGTCAAACTATTGACCCCAGGATGCAGCGCTATACTAAGTTGACTCTCTCCTGGGCATCTATTTACTGCTAGGTGAACAGGTGCATTAGGTGATAGGAAACGTGCACATAAATTTCAGTCCCCTCCCGGGATTTGAACCCGGAATTTTCGATTGTGAGTCGAGAACGACGCCCAGTTGTACTCCAGGACGTCTCTGTCCCACACCCGGCTGTCTCTGTCCCACACCCGGCTGTCTCTGTCCCACACCCGGCTCCTTGTTCTCAACACCCCTCCCAGTGGTGTCTTGGGGGGGGGGGGGGGGTAAAGAGGACGGAGAGGCACAGGTGAAGGGAAAGTTTAGAGATTGGAAATACAGTGAGAGTTACTGTTATATATATATATATATATATATATATATATATATATATATATATATATATATATATATATATATATATATATATATGTCGTACCTAGTAGCCAGAACGCACTTCTCAGCCTACTATGCAAGGCCCGATTTGCCTAATAAGCCAAGTTTTCATGAATTAATTGTTTTTCGACTACCTAACCTACCTAACCTAACCTAACCTAACTTTTTCTGCTACCTTACCTAACCTAACCTATAAAGATAGGTTAGGTTAGGTTAGGTAGGGTTGGTTAGGTTCGGTCATATATCTACGTTAATTTTAACTCCAATAAAAAAAATTGACCTCATATATAATGAAAAGGGAAGCTTTATCATTTCATAAGAAAAAAATTAGAGAAAATATATTAATTCAGGAAAACTTGGCTTATTAGGCAAATCGGGCCTTGCATAGTAGGCTGAGAAGTGCGTTCTGGCTACTAGGTACGACATATATATATATATATATATATATATATATATATATATATATATATATATATATATATATATATATATATATATATATATATATATATATCATCAGTTCATAAAGCAGGTGGTACAGCTGACAAACAATTACAAAATAATATCAAATCCACCGGTACTATCAAAATATTTGACATTTTTGTAAAAACCGTTCTACTCCAGCTTTGTAAAATTCCACATACTAAGTCCCCGACACTTTGGCTTCCGCTCCCAAAAGAGTACCAAGTGTTAGTCTGCTTGACTTAATCTACTCAGCCCTTGACAAAAATGAGTTCCCAATTGGCCTCTTCATTGACCTGAGAAAGGCCTTTGATACTGTTAACCATAACCACCTCTTACTTAAACTCCGCCATTATGTCATCCCAAGCCTTGCTCTGAACTATATCCCATCCTGTCTCTGTGACAGACACCAATATGTAGCCATCAATGATATAACCTCTCCTACTCTCCCACTAACTGTAAGGGTGCCACAGGGCAGCATCCTAGATCCTCTCCTATTTCTTTACATCAATGATTTGCCAAATGTTTCTAACATTCTTAAACCTATATTATTTGCAGACGATACTACCCTCATCTACTCAAACCCCAACATACACACACTCAATAATATTATCAACAATGAATTATAAAAGTCTACTCATAGATGTCAACCATCAAACTCACACTAAACATAGGAAAGGCCTTCAACATTTCATTTGGAAGTAACTCACCAAACCAAATTCAGCTTCAGATAGACAATGTTAATATCAGAAATAAAAATAATGGAAAGTTCCTTGGCCTATACTTAGACAAGAGACTCAACTTCAGTACCCATTTACAATATAAAGGCAAAAATGTCTAAAAAAAAACGGTCGGTATACTTTCTAAAATCAGATATTATGATCCCTACTATGCTCTCCTCCCATTATACTATGCACTAATCTATCCCTATCTTACATATGGTATCTGTGCATGGAGTTCAACCACTGCAAATTACCTCAAGCCCATCATCACTCAGCAAAAATCTGCTATCAGAACTATAACAAACTGTCTTCAGACAACACACAGCCCCTCTGATTAAGTCCCTTAACATCCAAACATACAGTGACTCCACACATTCTCATGTGCTATCTACATGTACAAAACCTTGTTCCTAAATGCTAATCTTGATCTGAAACTTTTCCTTGATATATGTAATAAAACCAATGAGCACCACACCAGAAATAAATATATCTTTGATAACCTCAGTCAAACTAAATGTGTGTAAACACTCTATGCAAATAAAAGGGCCCAGTCTATAGAACTCACTCTCTGATGAATTAAAAAATTGTCCAACCCATGACCTGTTCAAGAGTATAATAAAAACAGTACTTAATTTCATCGTCATAGTTTCCTACCTTGTGCTTCAAACTCACACTGTATCTTGTACTACCCACTCCCACATTATTAGTACTTAAGACATGCAAAATTTCCTGTATAATCATTTCAATAAATTTGTATTGTAGTTATTATGTTGAAATCAAATTCTGCTAGAATATACCTTCTAATTAATCTTACTTGTATCTGATAGATTAAGGAGCTGTGGGAAACACTACGCGGGTTAGTGGCTTTCCAACACAATAACACCACCAGTGTTTTATAATAATAATACAAATTATTCATTGCGTCGGGGACAGGAAGCCAGGTTATAAATACAGTACATGTTAGGCTTATACCTAGTTACCTTCCGGTAAAAGTCGAGGGAGAAAACACCACAGGGAGTGGGCAAGAGTTACCTTGGGGTGGAAGTGGAGGGAGAGAACGCCACAGGAAGTGGGCAAGAGTTACCTTAGGGTGGAAGTGTAGGGAGAGAACGCCACAGGGAGCGTGGAAGACTCTCTCAGGCGAGGCGGGGTTCTTGAGAGTGAAGAGGCACAGCATCCCAGCGCCCTCCGGTCCACCAATGTCTCCTGCAGGCCCCGACACCGTCATCAACACACACCTTCACAAGTTCACTCCCATGTTAGTATACCCTTAAAATCATTTTCTTTAAAAGTAGATTATTGTTCTAAAAATTACAGCGTCGGCCTTAAAAATCAGGTTAATATTCTAAAATCAATTGAGTATTGATCATAAAAATCAGATTATTGTTGGTTAAAATTAGAGTATCGGTTTTAAAAAATTACTTTATTTTTCTTTAAATTCATTGATTGGGTCGTGAAGGTACAGCAGAGGCCTCGCTTCTTGCAGGCCGGGGCCCCTCCGTGGTGTCGCCTTGTCGTGGTGAGGGGCTCACGTACACCTCCCTGAAGCCAGTAGAGGTTGCCTTCGCCCCCTCTTCTGCCCCTCTTTGGGTGTTGTACGTGCAAAAGGGCACCATGTAGGGTCCTTGTGAGCCATTGGACCGCTCGCTGGAAGGGTCGCCTGTGAGGGGCCGCCCTGAGTGTCCAGGCTGGGGGCCATAGTGGGTAGTAACTAAGGTCTTTACATCAGTGTGGGAGAATGTACGATGCAGTAGGACTTCCCTGTTAAGAAGGAATAGCACCGCAGGGGACGACGCACCCTTCCTGCACTGACCCGCGCTCGGCCTCTCTGGCTGCCCTGGTAGGTGGTATCTCTTGGTTCCAGGCCCCAGACTGTTTAAAATAATTGCTTTATGGATAACGACACGACCTCTCTTACCCAGGCCCCTGAGTTGAACTGTGATGGAAGGGTGCGTCGTCCCTTCCCCCGTCCGCTAGTGGAGGGGAGTAGTTAAAAAAAAAAAACTAGAGGAACACCTGGCGCGAAAGAACTCTTGTAACACAGCATCAGCATGGATTCAGGGATGGCAAGTCATGCCTCACAGGGTTAATCGAATTCTACAACCAGGCAAGAAAGAGGGGTGGGCAGACTGCATGTTTTTGGATTGACAGAAAGCCAAAAACAAGATTACCACACAAGAGACTTGTGCATAAGCTGGAGATGCAGGCAGGAGTGAAAGGGAAGGTACTCCATTGGATAAGGGAGTACCTAAGCATCATGAGACAACGAGTCACTGTGAGGAGTGAGGTCTTGGAGTGGCAAGGCATCACCAGTGGAGTCCCTCAGGGATAAGTCCTTGGACCTATGTCCTTGGACCTATATTGTTTCTAATATATCTCCCGGAGGGAATAGATTCGTTCCTCTCATTGTTTGCTGATGATGCAAAAATTATGAGGAGGATTAAGACAGAGGAAGATAGCATGAGGCTACAAGATGATATAGACACACTAAATGAATAGTCCAACAAATGGTTACTAAAGTTCTACCCAAGTAGTAGGCATCATCAGTCTTAGGAGACTATGGAGTTGCACTCTGGTGTCGGCCTGGTCTGGAGTGGTCTCACCAGGGCGCAAAAGCCAGATTACCCAAGTAAATGTACGGTAATGAAACTAGGCGGAGGAAAAAGGAGGACAAACACAGAATACCGAAAGGGAGATGAAGTCCTTCATGAAACTGACAGAGAGAAAGATCTACGAGTTGATATCTCGCCAAACCTGTCTCCTGAAGCCCACATCAAAAGAATAACATCAGCGGCGTATGTAAGGCTAGCTAACACAAGAACTTCCTTCATGAAACTTTGTAATTAGTCCTTCAGAACTTTGTATAACACATATGAAACGCCAATCCTGGAGTATGCGGCCCCAGCATGGAGCCCGTACCTTGTCAGGAATAAGAGGAAACTGGAAAAAGTTCAGAGTTATGCCAATAGACTAGTCCCAGAACTAAGAGACATGAGTTAGGAGGAAAGGCTGCATGAAATGCACCTCACGTCGCTGGAAGACAGGAGAGCTAGGGAAGACATGATCACTAGCTACAAAATTCTCAGCGGTATTGACAAGGGTAGATAAAGATGAATTGTTTAACACAGGTGGTACACGAACAAGGAGACACAGGTGGAAACTGAGTACCCAAATGAGCCACAAAGAAATTTGAAAGAACTTCTCAGTGTCAGAGTAGTTAGTAAATGGAATGCATTAGGCAGTGATGTGGCGGAGGCTGACTCCATACACAGTTTCAAATGTAGATAGAATTGAGCCCAGTAGGCTCAGGAATCTGTACATCAGTTGATTGACAGTTGAGAGACATGACTAAAGAGACAGAGCTCAACTGCCGCAAGCACAACTAGGTGAGTAGAGCGCCCCCCAGGTGGACTGACCGGCGGTGTAGGCGGCGCCAAAGAGGTCCGGGTAGACGGGACTCCAGCAAATGTCTGCCACCATGAACGTCCTGGACTTGTCGTGGTGGAACTTCCAGAGTGGCAGCAACGACCCTTCCAGCGGACGGAACTCGTCGCCCCCGTCCTCCCAGTACCGGAAATCTGCAACACAGATACATAGCTCCCAGTACTATTATTACTGTGCTTCACCACCTTCCCTACCCATCACCACCTTCCCTACCCTCCACCACCTTCCCTACCCTCCACCACCTTCCCTACCCTCCACCACCTTCCCTACCCTCCACCACCTTCCCTACCCTCCACCACCTTCCCTACCCTCCACCACCTTCCCTACCCTCCACCACCTTCCCTACCCTCCACCACCTTCCCTACCCATCACCACCTTCCCTACCCTCCACCACCTTCCCTACCCTCCACCACCTTCCCTACCCATCACCACCTTCCCTACCCATCATCACCTTCCCTACCCATCACCACCTTCCCTACCCTCCACCACCTTCCCTACCCATCACCACCTTCCCTACCCTCCACCACCTTTCCCTACCCTCCACCACCTTCCCTACCCTCCACCACCTTCCCTACCCTCCACCACCTTCCCTACCCATCACCACCTTCCCTACCCTTCACCACCTTCCCTACCCTTCACCACCTTCCCTACCCACCACCACCTTCCCTACCCTCCACCACCTTCCCTACCCTCCACCACCTTCCCTACCCTCCACCACCTTCCCTACCCATCACCACCTTCCCTACCCATCACCACCTTCCCTACCCATCACCACCTTCCCTACCCTTCACCACCTTCCCTACCCACCACCACCTTCCCTACCCATCACCACCTTCCCTACCCATCACCACCTTCCCTACCCTTCACCACCTTCCCTACCCACCACCACCTTCCCTACCCATCACCACCTTCCCTACCCATCACCACCTTCCCTACCCTCCACCACCTTCCCTACCCATCACCACCTTCCCTACCCATCACCACCTTCCCTACCCATCACCACCTTCCCTACCCATCACCACCTTCCCTACCCTCCACCACCTTCCCTACCCTCCACCACCTTCCCTACCCATCACCACCTTCCCTACCCATCACCACCTTCCCTACCCTTCACCACCTTCCCTACCCTTCACCACCTTCCCTACCCACCACCACCTTCCCTACCCTCCACCACCTTCCCTACCCTCCACCACCTTCCCTACCCTCCACCACCTTCCCTACCCTCCACCACCTTCCCTACCCATCACCACCTTCCCTACCCTTCACCACCTTCCCTGCCCTCCACCACCTTCCCTACCCTCCACCACCTTCCCTACCCTTCACCACCTTCCCTACCCTCCACCACCTTCCCTACCCATCACCACCTTCCCTACCCTTCACCACCTTCCCTGCCCTCCACCACCTTCCCTACCCTTCACCACCTTCCCTACCCTTCACCACCTTCCCTACCCTTCACCACTTTCCCTGCCCTGCACCTCCCAGTACTGTAAGTCTGGATCATACACACCTCCCAGTACTGTAAGTCTGGATCATACACACCTCCCAGTACTGTAAGCCTGGATCATACACACCTCCCAGTACTGTAAGCCTGGATCATACACACCTCCCAGTACTGTAAGTCTGGATCATACACCCCTCCCAGTACTGTAAGCCTGGATCATACACCCCTCCCAGTACTGTAAGTCTGGATCATACACACCTCCCAGTACTGTAAGTCTGGATCATACACACCTCCCAGTACTGTAAGTCTGGATCATACACACCTCCCAGTACTGTAAGCCTGGATCATACACACCTCCCAGTACTGTAGCCTGGATCATACACACCTCCCAGTACTGTAAGTCTGGATCATACACACCTCCCAGTACTGTAAGTCTGGATCATACACACCTCCCAGTACTGTAAGTCTGGATCATACACACCTCCCAGTACTGTAGCCTGGATCATACACACCTCCCAGTACTGTAGCCTGGATCATACACACCTCCCAGTACTGTAGCCTGGATCATACACCCCTCCCAGTACTGTAAGCCTGGATCATACACACCTCCCAGTACTGTAGCCTGGATCATACACACCTCCCAGTACTGTAGCCTGGATCATACACACCTCCCAGTACTGTAAGCCTGGATCATACACACCTCCCAGTACTGTAAGCCTGGATCATACACACCTCCCAGTACTGTAGCCTGGATCATACACACCTCCCAGTACTGTAAGCCTGGATCATACACACCTCCCAGTACTGTAGCCTGGATCATACACACCTCCCAGTACTGTAAGCCTGGATCATACACACCTCCCAGTACTGTAGCCTGGATCATACACACCTCCCAGTACTGTAGCCTGGATCATACACACCTCCCAGTACTGTAGCCTGGATCATACACACCTCTCAACAGAGGAGCCATAGAGACCGGGAGAGGAGAGCACCGTTACCTTGAGAGATGTCGTCGTAGATGTTCTGGTTGAGCATCCGCTCTACGAGGACGGCGGCCAGGCGCAGCCCCGGCAGGTCCAGCGACACCTTCCCGAACTCCTCCTGCCTTGCCGGACGGACCACCACGATCGGGTCTAGGTTCTCCTCGGACAAACGGTTCGTGATTAATTACAAGTTGGTTTTGGAAAGGCGGGTGGAGAGGGGAATTTGTGGACCTATCAGTGTGGATGGCTGTATTCAGATCTAAGTAGTGTCTGAGAGGTGTCACAACCCGTTTTATGGGTTTTATGGGCCACAGCCCATAAAACGGAGGAAAGGGTCCTTAAAGATATTGTTAATAGAAACGTTATCCCTACAGACAAAAATCAGAAGATACAACTGACGATTTACTATAAAACCAGAAAAACGGCCAGCCTACTCATGAGAAACTCTCCAGACACAAAGCAGAACGCTTTAAAAGAGACCAACGTCGTCTATGCCTTCAAATGCCCTCTTGGGGACATTAAGCCTCAAAAAACCCAGTATATAGGCAAGACAACAACATCTCTTTCTAGGCGTTTAACGATGCATAAGCAACAGGGCTCCATTAAGGAACATATAATCTCTTCCCACAAACAAACCATCACCAGAGAAATCCTAGTAAACAACACAGAAATCATCTATAGATACAGCGATAGCAGACGGCTTGACGTTTGCGAGGCACTACACATCAAGAAGTCAACACCAGCAATCAACAGCCAATTAATGCACAACTATATTCTACCCACTTCAAGACTCCGCTCCAATATAGAAGCATCAAGAAATATGGACCAATAGGCTTTCTACAATTACTTCCATTCAATACCCATTGTTTCGTGTTCTGTCTTGTGTTTGAATTTAATACCCATTCAATACCCATTTTTTCGTGTTCTGTCTTGTGTTGGAATTTAATACCCATTGAATACCCATTGTTGAAAGTTCGTTTTTCACCTCATCCCCCTCACCCAAATGTAGATATATACCTCGAATATGTGTAAGCTCTATTCAGTTTCAGTTGTGTGTTTGTAAACTAAAGTCTTTGAAAATGTAATAAGTTTTACGAAACGCGCTCAAGTGTCGCGTCAGACTAGAAATAAAAATGAATTTTGGAGAATTGATCTTTGAATTACCACCAACAGTGAAAAGAAATGTACGAAAGATTGAGAAAATTCGTGTTAGAATTATTAATCTTACTTTTTCGGTCATATTTAATAATATATGTCTACAGGAAAGACATATATTATTAAATATGACCGAAAAAGTAAGATTAATAATTCTAACACGAATTTTCTCAATCTTTCGTACATTTCTTTTCACTGTTGGAGGTAAATCAAAAATCAATTCTCCAAAATTCATTTTTATTTTTAGTCTGACGCGACACGAGCGCGTTTCGTAAAACTTATTACATTTTCAAAGACTTTAGTTTACAAATACACAACTGAATAGAACTTACGCATCTCCGATTTTGTTTATATCTACATTTGAGTGAGGTGGATGGGGTGAGGTGGCATTAATAGGGTATTAATTTCAACACAAGAGAGAACAAGAGGTGGCATTAATAGGGTATTAATTTCATCAACACAAGACAGAACACGAAACAATGGGTATTGAATAGAAGTGTTTGTAGAAAGCCTATTGGTCCATATTTCATCAAGCATCATATAGAAGCATCAAGATGGTGGGCCACATATCTGTAGCAAGGAAGGTGGGCCACATATCTGTAGCAAGGAAGGTGGGCCACATATCTATAGCAAGGAAGGTGGGTCACATATCTGTAGCAAGGAAGGTGGGACCACATATCTGTAGCAAGGAAGGTGGGCCACATATCTGTAGCAAGGAAGGTGGGACCACATATCTGTAGCAAGGAAGGTGGGCCACATATCTATAGCAAGGAAGGTGGGTCACATATCTGTAGCAAGGAAGGTGGGCCACATATCTGTAGCAAGGAAGGTGGGCCACATATCTGTAGCAAGGAAGGTGGGCCACATATCTGTAGCAAGGAAGGTGGTGTGGGCCACATATCCATTACAAGAAAGGTGGTGTGGGCCACATATCCACAACAAGGAAGGTGGTGTGGGCCACATATCCATTACAGGAAAGGTGGTGTGGGCCACATATCCACAACAAGGAAGGTGGTGTGGGCCACATATCCATCACAAGGAAGGTGGTGTGGGCCACATATCCATCACAAGGAAGGTGGTGTGGGCCACATATCCATCACAAGGAAGGTGGTGTGGGCCACATATCCATCACAAGGAAGGTGGTGTGGGCCACATATCCATCACAAGGAAGGTGGTGTGGGCCACATATCCATCACAAGGAAGGTGGTGTGGGCCACATATCCATCACAAGGAAGGTGGTGTGGGCCACATATCCATCACAAGGAAGGTGGTGTGGGCCACATATCCATCACAAGGAAGGTGGTGTGGGCCACATATCCATCACAAGGAAGGTGGTGTGGGCCACATATCCATCACAAGGAAGGTGGTGTGGGCCACATATCCATCACAAGGAAGGTGGTGTGGGCCACATATCCATCACAAGGAAGGTGGTGTGGGCCACATATCCATCACAAGAAAGGTGGTGTGGGCCACATATCCATCACAAGGAAGGTGGTGTGGGCCACATATCCATCACAAGGAAGGTGGTGTGGGCCACATATCCATCACAAGGAAGGTGGTGTGGGCCACATATCCATCACAAGGAAGGTGGTGTGGGCCACATATCCATCACAAGGAAGGTGGTGTGGGCCACATATCCATCACAAGGAAGGTGGTGTGGGCCACATATATACAACAAAATACCCAAGACAACAAAGCACTGGTGTACTGCATTGATGTACTGGTATACTGCAGTATATGGTGTTGTATACACAGTATGTTGTGTATATTGCTGGAGGTCAGTATGCTCTATTCTGACCTCCCACACATGTAACATACTGATAAATGGATAAAATTCTCCGTAATATAATGCGTATAGCGCATGTCTCAGTATGCTAAGGTCTGGTAAACTCACCTGGGCATTGGCGCCCCTGTGGGCACCTTTTGGGCAGCTACTGTGTGGTGGGCAGACCTGCACGCACATACGTGTGTAAGTACATATATATAAAATCACCTGCAAAAGCCTATTTTGACCCATGCGAGGCAGTTCCTATTATATATTCACTTATACTCAGTGTTACATATGTGTAACTTACGCTGGAGACAGTCAAGTGATCTCTCGTCTCTTATGGTACCCGATAATTGCCTCTATAGATCACCTATTCTATTTCTTAAGATACAAATTACCTAAGTCTTTCCTCTTTCTGAACTGATTCAATTTTCGTTTCGTGTTGTCTTGAGATAAGGAAGGTTTCTAGTTGCTGGGGTCGTCAATCTTGTGTGTCCGGGTGTAGGTGTACCCTCCTACACACATGAGGGTGTAGGTGTACCCTCCTACAGTCATGAGGGTGTAGGTGTACCCTCCTACACACATGAGGGTGTAGGTGTACCCTCCTACACACATGAGGGTGTTGGTGTACCCTCCTACACACATGAGGGTGTAGGTGTACCCTCCTACACACATGAGGGTGTTGGTGTACCCTCCTACACACATGAGAGTGTTGGTGTACCCTCCTACACACATGAGGGTGTTGGTGTACCCTCCTACACACATGAGGGTGTTGGTGTACCCTCCTACACACATGAGGGTGTTGGTGTACCCTCCTACACACATGAGGGTGTAGGTGTACCCTCCTACACACATGAGAGTGTTGGTGTACCCTCCTACACACATGAGAGTGTTGGTGTACCCTCCTACACACATGAGAGTGTTGGTGTACCCTCCTACACACATGAGGGTGTAGGTGTACCCTCCTACACACATGAGGGTGTAGGTGTACCCTCCTACACACATGAGGGTGTAGGTGTACCCTCCTACACACATGAGAGTGTTGGTGTACCCTCCTACACACATGAGGGTGTAGGTGTACCCTCCTACACACATGAGGGTGTAGGTGTACCCTCCTACACACATGAGGGTGTTGGTGTACTTACCACTGTGACTCTTACTTCGGCTTCAGACACAGCCTGCTGGAACAGGTGTGTGACCCAGCCTGCTGGAACAGGTGTCTGACACAGCCTGCTGGAACAGGTGTCTGACACAGCCTGCTGGAACAGGTGTCTGACCCAGCCTGCTGGAACAGCTGTCTGACCCAGCCTGCTGGAACAGGTGTCTGACACAGCCTGCTGGAACAGGTGTCTGGCACAGCCTGCTGGAACAGGTGTCTGACCCAGCCTGCTGGAACAGGTGTCTGACACAGCCAGCTGGAACAGGTGTCTGACACAGCCAGCTGGAACAGGTGTCTGACACAGCCTGCTGGAACAGGTGTCTGACACAGCCTGCTGGAACAGGTGTCTGACACAGCCTGCTGGAACAGCTGTCTGACCCAGCCTGCTGGAACAGGTGTCTGACCCAGCCTGCTGGAACAGGTGTCTGACCCAGCCTGCTGGAACAGGTGTCTGACCCAGCCTGCTGGAACAGGTGTCACCGACACAGCCAGCTGGAACAGGTGTCTGACCCAGCCTGCTGGAACAGCTGTCTGACCCAGCCTGCTGGAACAGCTGTCTGACCCAGCCTGCTGGAACAGCTGTCTGACCCAGCCTGCTGGAACAGGTGTCTGACACAGCCTGCTGGAACAGCTGTCTGACCCAGCCTGCTGGAACAGCTGTCTGACACAGCCTGCTGGAACAGCTGTCTGACCCAGCCTGCTGGAACAGCTGTCTGACACAGCCAGCTGGAACAGGTGTCTGACCCAGCCTGCTGGAACAGGTGTCTGACACATTAATGTTAGGGGACATATAAGCGAAGTAACTTACTTGTTTCGGTTTAGCGGGACCTCTCTCTCTCTCCCTCTCCTTCTCCTTATCTCTCTCCAGCTCCAGCTCCCGCTGCACCACCTTCGTGTAGTCGTCCTGGTAGGCGTGGAAGATGTCGAAGAGTCCCACGTTGATGGAGAAGGTGGTGCTGGGGGCCGGCTCCGTCTGCATAGTCAGGTTCTGAGGAGAGTCGAACCTGGGTTAGTTGTAGGGCCCACTGTAGCCCCTGGCTGGTGTGTTGGTGCTTGGTGTAGCCCCTGGCTGGTGTGTTGGTGCTTGGTGTAGCCCCTGGCTGGTGTGTTGGTGCTTGGTGTAGCCCCTGGCTGGTGTGTTGGTGCTTGGTGTAGCCCCTGGCTGGTGTGTTGGTGCTTGGTGTAGCTCCTGGCTGGTGTGTTGGGTGTACAAACACTCTCTTGGTCACACTTCATCCTGTCCACACACACCACTCTCACACACACCAGATTTGGATGTGACAAAGGATATAGAATCTCAAACGCTACACCAATGGATAGAATGTTACCATGGATCCTGAAGGAAGGAGCAGAAGCACTGTGCCTACCACTCTCAATGGTGTATAACAAGTTACTGGTAACAGGTGAACTGCCAAAAATTTTACAGTTTGGCATAAAACGGTTAATGTGCTGCCAATATTCAAGAGGGGTGACAGACAGTTGGCACGGAATTATAGTCCAGTGTCCCTATCTTGCATACCATGCAAGTTGATGGGGATGATTGTGCGAAAACACTTGCGGAACATCTGGAGTAAAAGAACTTTGTAACACAACATAAGTATGGGTTCAAGATGGCAAATCATGTCCCACAGGGTTAATGGAATGCTATGACCAGGCCTCGTAGCCTGGTGGATAGCGCGCAGGACTCGTAATTCTGTGGCGCGGGTTCGATTCCCGCACGAGGCAGATACAAATGGGCAAAGTTTCTTTCACCCTGAATGCCCCTGTTACCTAGCAGTAAATAGGTACCTGGGAGTTAGTCAGCTGTCACGGGCTGCTTCCTGGGGGTGGAGGCCTGGTCGAGGACCGGGCCGCGGGGACACTAAAGCCCCGAAATCATCTCAAGATAACCTCAAGATAAGGCAACACAAATCAGGCAAGATAGAAAGGGCTGGGCAGACTGAATATTTTTGGATTGCTAGAAAGCCTTTGATACAGTACCACATAAGAGACTGGTGAACAAGTTGGAGATGCAGGCAGGAGTGAAAGGGAAGGTACTCCACTGAATAAGGGAGTACCTAAGTAACAGAAGACAGCGAGTCACTGTGAGTGGGAGGCTACTATCAGGCTACAAGATGACCTAGACAAACTGAAAGAATGGTTCAATAAATAGTTACTTAAATTCAACCCAAGTAAATGTAAGGTAATGAAACTAGGTAGTGGAAACAGAAGACCAGACACAAGGATAACGAATGGGAGATGAAGTCCTCCACGAAATGGACAAACTGAAAGATCTAGGACTTGATATCACGCCAAACCTGTCTCCTGAAACCCACATCAAAATAATAGCATCGGTGGCATATGCGAGGCTGGTTAACATCAGAACTGCTTTCAAAAACCTATGTACGGAATCTTTCAGAACCTTGTATATCACGAATGTGAAGCCAATCCTGAAGTATGCAGCCCCAGCATGGAGCCCGTACCATGTCAAGCACAAGACGAAGCTGGAAAAGGTCCAGAGGTATACCACCTGGCTAGTTCCAGAACTAAGAGGCATGAGTTACGAGGAAAGGCTGAGTGAACTGCACCTCACGTCGCT